ACATACATGCTAAGTAAGAATAACTCATGCGTCTACTAAGCATGTGAATGAAGTTGGGGTTAGTTTAGTAAGTTGGCCGTAGTTTAGGAGAATATGCTGCATATCCTTGATATTGATTATAAAGGGAGTTTTTGTTCATAAAAAGAAAACTCTTACAAAGTAATTAAGCAACTTTTACCCTTTAAGTCGCTTTTTGTCGGTTTGGGTTTGTTAAGTCATGGTACGGACATTCATTTGAGGATATGACTTTGTTCGGAATGTTGTTTTAATGTTAAAATCTCAGTTATCAAATTAAATCACCTCTTAAATGCAATCTATCGCCTTTATCGCAAAAAACCTATTGCATGTTTGGCCATACCACACCACACTGCATGATAATAAAAAATTATGTATGTGCAACTGGGACTGGCCTCGTATTGTGAAATCTGATCCTTCACATGCTGCATCTCTTCCTGTCCACAGACAGGACCACACCACAACTACATCATATTCTATAAATAAACAAGTGTTACGCAGACCTAGATAGTGAGCCCATATGCGTTATATCCCTGTCCGGTTTATAACTAGATCAAACTTGAGTAATTACTTGAACCAAATCCAGACATATTTGTCAGTGAAAATGGGCACAAATCAAGTAAAATATCTCTTGATTTACCATTTTCGCAGAATTGCCGTCTGCACGCATGTCAGCTGTTAAATGTGGAAAACACTGGCATTCGAAGAGTGCATTTACTGTTTAGCCCCACAAGCCAAAGTAGATCTAACTTCACGTGCAGTCAGATCCTTAATTTATGACAAGCAAAACCAGCATTCAATCAAGTCTAACTTGGTGTAGTAGAGAGGTGGAGGGGGCTTCCACATTCAATGTGTTAGAAGGAGACTATTAGTTGAAACTACTAGTTTGTTGATTTTTGATCTGCCACATTGTAAATAATTTTCTGGTGGCTTCCTTTATGCATCCAACTTGAGTTTGATGATACAAAATTTTGGAGGGCAAAACCTTTTTGAAAGAATAAATAGTAAAATCTGTCTTATGTTTATGATCAAGTGATGCATTAAGTTGCAACCTTTTAAGTGACACTACTGAGTTTCAATCTGACTGTTTCTTCTGTAGGGATGGTATACAGCAGAGAAGGAACTCATGGCAGGATGGAGTTTATGGCACAAACTGTCCAATCCTACCAGGGAAGAACTTCACTTACAATATCCAAGTCAAGGATCAGATTGGTAGCTTTTTCTACTTCCCGTCCTTTTTGTTCCACAAAGCAGCTGGAGGGTTTGGCGGCATCAGAATCTGGAGCCGTCCTAAGATTCCGGTTCCTTTCCCTAATCCTGCTGGAGACTTCACTGTATTAGCTGGTGACTGGTATAAGACTAATCATTATGTAAGCAACTAAGCATTCTATTTTGTCACATAACATGTTTATATTTTGGTTTTATTAATACTAAAACTTTGTTCCTCGTCATATATATATATATATATATATATATATAATGTTCTCTTTTGGGAAATTTAGATACTGAGACGAAGCTACTTGGAGTTTGGTCGCAATCTTCCCTCCCCTGATGGGCTTCTCATCAATGGTCGTGGCTGGAATGGATACACATTTACTGTTGATCAAGGTATTCTAAAATGAACATCCCTTCTTCTTTGTATCCCTTCAACAAACAGAGCTCTTTATCTTTGAATTTATCAGATACCATTTGGGTAACTGTTTGTTTGCATGTGCTTATAAACTAAAGGCATAATTGGCACCTCATTGTTTCAATAATTTGTGTGCAGGGAGGACATATAGGTTCAGGATATCAAATGTGGGGCTTACAACATCCATTAACTTCAGAATTCAGGGACACAAGTTGAAACTGGTTGAGGTAGAAGGGTCTCATACACTCCAGAACATCTATGACTCCCTTGACATCCATCTTGGACAGTCCTATTCTGTCCTGGTCACAGCTGATCAGCCTGTCCAGGACTACTACGTCGTTGTCTCTTCGCGCTTCACCCCTCGGGTACTCACCACAACAGCCGTTCTTCACTACAGCAATTCGCGCAAGGGAGTTTCAGGTCCTCTCCCTTGGGGTCCTAGCACACAGGTTGCTTGGTCCCTCAGCCAGGCAAGATCTATCCGGTACTTCAAATTCTCTGCTACATTATATCAACATAACACATAAATATGTCTTTACACATACAATGCTTTTTAGAATCTGGTTGAAATCCAAGTTTGATAATTTTGTTGGTGTTTGAACCAGCTGGAACTTGACAGCAAGTGGACCAAGGCCTAATCCCCAAGGCTCCTACCACTACGGATTGATCAAGCCAGCCCGGACAATCATGCTTGCAAACTCTGCTCCTTATATCAATGGGAAGCAGAGGTTTGCTGTCAATAGTGTCTCATATGTTCAACCAGACACTCCTTTAAAAGTTGCTGACTACTTCAAGATTCCGGGGGTTTTCAGCGTAGGAAGCATCCCTACCAACCCCACAGGGGGAAGCGGCTACCTCCAGACCTCCGTCATGCACGCGAATTTCCGAGAGTACGTCGAGATTGTGTTCCAGAATTGGGAAGACACCGTGCAGTCATGGCACATTGATGGCTATTCATTCTTTGTAATGGGGTAAGATCATGCGTATAGTTCTAAAACCAGGCGTTAAAATTATTTCTTGGTCTTTATATGCTTGAGTGATTTTGACATTAATTGGTGGGATAAAATCTGCAGGATGGATGGAGGACAGTGGACACCAGCAAGTAGAGTACGTTACAATTTGAGAGACACAGTTGCACGTAGCACAACTCAGGTGTTGTGATTTTTGTAAGAAAATACTAATTGGTTGGATTGTTTTTATTTATTATTAAATGTTTGATTTTGGGATTTGTTTGGGTGCGCGCAGGTGTATCCGAGGTCATGGACTGCAATATACGTGGCACTGGACAATGTGGGAATGTGGAACGTGAGGTCTGAGAACTGGGCCAGGCAGTATTTGGGCCAGCAGTTCTATCTGAGAGTCTACTCTCCTGCAAATTCATGGAGAGATGAATACCCAATTCCAAGAAATGCTCTGCTTTGTGGCAGGGCAAGAGGCCGTCGCACTAGGCCTCTCTGAAATCTCATACCATTCAACTATTAGATTCTATTCTATATATGCTTCAGTTGGGTCAATTTTTGTCACGAGAGGGTGACACAGTTTTATCCTAAGTTTAGGAGCATCCTTGTAATTGTAACAATTCGTTATATTGGGAGTTCCTCTTGAGCTTCTAGATTTTATTTCTTCCAATATTGTTATTGCTAGATGGGTTATCCGCTTCGATAACTCCGACAGAGTAATCGAGTTTATCATCCTAAATTGAGTTGATTTAATAAAGGTAAACGATAATAGCAGTTATCCATATACTCGAAATTGTGTTTTCGATTTCTCTCCTTCATTATTACTTGTATTAAAACAAATGAAAAGGTAACCGAAGACCGGCATAGACTGTAAAGAAACGGATGCCAGCAAGCAAGGCAGCATTGTTATGCTTTGTGCTTCCTGGGTGTATGACAAGTTTGGGTTGCTACTTTCTCATTCATTCCATTCCACCATCATTATTCGCTTTGCTTACTTGAGCAACATTATAAAATACCACAAGTTTTGTTTACGACGTCACACTCCTATGCTTCTTCTGCCAATGCATGCCACACAGACTCAAGACTCAGAGACAGAGACAGAGACAGAGAGAGAAGAAAGAGAGAATATTCTTCCAATTCAAAACCGCCTCTCCGACTTTGGATCTGTTACTGAAACAGCATGGCCATGGAGGCCACGTTCCGCTTATGTCATGAATTTGTTTTCAGCCATTTTGGCCTTGTCCACATGAATTAAATTAAATCAATTAATTACGAAACTTCCATCCAAATTCCCATCCCACCAATATGAATGACGTTTTCATCCCCGACGTGTCTCTCAGCCTGCAATGCCCGACATGCACACACCTCCCTCCTCGTGCTCATCCATTGCTTGTATACATCAGAATTTGGAGAAATTATAGAGTGATACGGATATAACTTCCCGTATGAACTGGGTTTGTTTCTTGCTTGCGTTTCAGAATTGTGATGAGAGACGCGACTTTGAGTCATCCATTAGTTAATTAAATTGTATATGCGACTTATGAGGGAGGAGTGAAAAGTCTTTTCGGCCGGAATTAGGGAATGAGCTTGACCGGTGGTGAGAAGAGTGAGAGTGAGGAGTGATCGAGGGGAGCAGGTTTGAAAATATATATTTATTTGATTGGGTAGCAATGTAACTTGCAACTTGCAAGTTGCTTATTTTGGTATGTTTCCTTTAGGACATGCAACTTGCTCAGCTCATCATATAACGTACGTTTGCCTTTCCTTTGTTTTCTTGTCAAACCTATTTATTTATCTTGTTATAACGTACGTTTGCTTTGCTGCTGATTCCCATACTATTTCACATCTATTGACCCCCAACAAATATTTTTTTTAAATATTTATATTATATTAATTAATCATTTTACATTGACTTGACCTCACTCTACTTTTTAATAATTCCTGTTTAATCTTTTTAATTCAACATCTCTCTTTTTCTTTTCTTTTTTTCACCCAATATAGCAGTAATAAAAATCTATACTAATATAAATATATATGGCTTGGGTTGGGTTTATCACTTTTCACCCTTCATTTTCATCAATCATGAAGGCATTTTTTAACATAAAACCACACAACCTCTGCGCAGGACTTAAATTCTGTGGGGGTGGGGTGGGGTGTGTCCCAAAGTTTTTTCTTTTTCCCAATTGAAACTCCAAGGACTAAAAATTAAGTATCCCTTTGAGCCTGAGAAAAAAAAAGCTGCCGCTAAAGGACACAATTCTCACCAACTGGTCATCTCTGTATTTATTCTCTTTCAATTTGTTGAGCCGCTGCAGTGCAGAGGCCTCATCTGATATATATCATCACTCTCTCTCTCTCTCTCTCTCTCTCTCTCTCTCTCTCTCTCTCAAACAATTCAGGCAATGAAGAGCTCTCTCAAGGGGTCTCCATCTTCCTCTGTTGACAATGGCGATGATGACGATCATCAAGCTGGACAGAGGTTGGTATTGTACCATCATTTGCTAGCTGCCGCTGATCATCATCAGAGAAGCGGCCTGCAGAAAAAACCGTCGTCGTCATCCTCGTCAACTCCGGTAAGACCTTATGTTCGCTCCAAAATGCCTCGCCTTCGTTGGACACCTGATCTTCACCACTGTTTTGTGCATGCAGTCGAAAGGCTTGGCGGCGAACAAAGTAATTAAGCTCCATCTCTCTTAGTTAAATAATATATATATCATTCACATAATAATTAATATATGATTTATTGTTCTTAATTAAAATTACAGGAGCTACTCCAAAGATGGTTTTACAGATCATGAATGTGAAAGGCCTTACCATATCTCACGTTAAAAGCCATCTTCAGGTAATTAATCTGATGATTAATTAATTCAAATCCCCCCTTTTTTTTTTGCCTTCTGCGATTTTTTGCTTTTTAATTATTTTTATTTTTGTTCATTCTTTCTCACGTTGAGGTTTGTGACGGACAGATGTACAGGAGCATGAAGCATGAACAAGGCATACAAGGTACACATGTACAGAACATATTCTATTCATGAACTCATGCATGCCCCCTTTGACTAATTTGAAAGAAAACTTTTGGTCCATGCTTTTGTAATTTTTCATCTTTTGAAAGAAGCTAAGGATATTGTGTAATTCTTTATAAAGCTCTGGCTAATAATAATTGAATTGAACATAATATTTTGTTGCAGGAGCGGCTATGGCAGCAATGAAGAATGGTATGTTCCAGGCCTTGGAGCACCCAAACAGCTCAAACTTATTGAAACCAATCAATAGAAATCAACCTCGTTATTTCCAAAACAACGATGGGATGCAAAACATGTACAACTATGGACCCTGCCAAAGCAATCAAACTTGTTACATTGAACACCTTGATCTCAACACTACCAGCCCACTGCCAAAATGGTAATTCATTTCTGAATTAATTATAATTAATTCTTTTATCTCCCTCTATAATTTCCCTTAATTATACTTATTAATTTTTACAGGAAAGATGAGACGAAGCAAGCCATGTGGATTGAGAAAAAAGTGACGAGGGAGCAGAATCCAAATTCCTTCATCATATTCAAGGATCTACTCAAAAGATGCACTGATGCACAAGTACCACTCTCTCTCTCTCTCTCTCTCTCTCTCTCTCTCTCTCTCTCTCTCTCTATAGCTGCTATGTCTCTCTGGGCTCAAACAGCTATTTTATATATTTGTGCAAATATTCCATATATAATTATGTATGACTTTTCAGGAGAGCAATGATCAAGGAAAAGCTGTGTCGCTAGTGAGTGCAGGTTGCAAGAGCAATCATAAAGAATTTGAAGATTTATTATTATGTGAAGAAAGTGAAAGTAGCATGAGAGTAGATTCTAACAATGATGCAAGAATGTCTCTATCACTCAACTCGTCACCGAAAGCTTCTCATGAGCTGTTGAGGCTCAGCAAAGCTGCTGGAAATTCAGATATGAATGATGTCTCTCTTGAGCTTACTCTCAGTACTTAGACTATATATTCATGCACATAATCGATAGAGACAATGTGGAAACTTCAAAAAAGAGTGCCCTCTTTTTTATTTTGCAATATTCTCCTCCAATATCTAGTTATCTACATATGAACTACTTGCTACACGAATCTATAAAATTAAACTCATCCAATAACAATTAACAAATAAGGCTCTCCAAAGTACAAGCGACAAAAAAAATGTAAATAGCGTGACATATAAAATATTGTTATCAATTAACTCGTCACATAAATGTCATGTGATTTTTCATCTGACTTTCGAGCAACGTGTGTGTGATATCATATATATATGTAAGGAATATAGTTTCAATTTTCTCTTGTGATGAAAAATGTGTGTGACTTGACTTTAGGAAGTAGTTCTCTTCTCTCTCAACCAAGTCAGTTAGAGATGAGTTGACTTCATGGAAAAACAAAACAATTAAGGGAATGTTTATGTTTCGTGATAAAACTAAAAATATAGGTTACTCATGTACATGAAGTGGGATATATACATCTTCCCTAATTTCAACCTACCATCTTCTCTACTCTTGTTCTTTCATCTATATATTGGAGCGTTTGTCCCGAAGAGCAAAATGTCCCAAATCGAATATCACAAACCTTTGGCTTAAATATATTTTCTCACAGAAGAAGAAGAATATCTATTTATATATAGATTCCTGATGACTAGCTCTACTAAGGTTTTGGTGTTTGTGCTTGTTGGTGCACTTATATTCATCAGCGGCACTACATATGCCAGGATGGTTAATGAGGATGTGAGCAAAAAGGGTGGTGGTGCATTTAAGGAGGCAAAGACATATGCATTTTTCCATCACAAGTTTCCAGGTTATGGATATGGATTAGGTAAAGGCATAGGTTTTGGTGGTGACTTCGGAAGTGGAGTAGGCTTTGGTGGTAATGTTGGTGGGTTTGGGAGTCAAAGTGGGTCGGGTTCCAGTCCCGGTTCTAGTTCCGGTTCTGAATCTGGCACTGGCACTGGAGCTGGAGCTGGATCTGATGCCGGAGCAGGAGCTGCAGCCGGAGCTGGGGCTGGGTCTGCAGTTGAAGGGCAAGGAGCTGGTGGTGGATCGCGTTGAGTGTTCTATCTATGTATGCACTAATTTTTCCACCGGTTCTCAACTTGTGGCTGCAACCCATGTATTAATATATATATATAGTAGCTAGCTAGCTAGCTATATAGTTACTTTGTACTATCATGTGGTCGATGTACTACTGGACCTATGGAATAATTAAAAGCTACCCAATTTAAATTTTCTCTTCTGATTTATTCTCCCTCTTTATTCTTATTATTATTAGTGGCAATACTGATTTGATATTGATTCTTGAGTAGAAATGGATGGTGACACAGTAAGGAGTTTGTAGCTCAAATAGTTAAGGGTTATCGTCTCTACACCGGAAGTTCTGTATTCGAATTTCCGCTCTTCAATAACGCTTGTGTAAGAAATTGATGGGTAAATGGTTCATGGGACTCTATGAGCCCAACGTTGGATTGGAGTGGATACAAGAGGAGACTAATATTGCACCGGGCTTTTTTGGACTGAAATGTAGCCGTGGGCTAACCACAATCCAGGACCATGTTCAAAGATTCAAAATAAGATATTTTTATTATTATTATCAGATCTAATATTCAGAAAAATAAAATGAAAGAAACACCAACATATATTTGATATGTGCTTATTCTTTCATCCCAAACTTAAGCAAAAACATATCCCCATCTCAACTACTACTCTCCTGCCATTGGTGTCCATAATGTCCCTGCCCCGACCAACTTTGGTCGTTAAGCGATCACCTGTCCTCAGTTCCACAATATGAATACCTATGTACTCAATTCAAGGGCCAACAAAACAACTTCCTTAGTGGGTCCCGCTTTTACTACAGTTTCAGTCAACCTCGGACGAGATGAGCGGCATAGATACTGTCGTGTCTGACTCTGCCATCACAGCCGTTGATACATCAAATGCACAAGAAAAGGAATCTGGGTGTGACTGAGACTGTAAAAGACTGAAACTTTTTTCCCTAAAAAAATTATTTCTTTTATTTTTGGGTAAAGCTAAAAGATTTCTAGAGGAGTGAGAAATGAGAAGGCGATAGCATTTCATCAAAGAATAGAAGATTGGGGTGTTTTGTCAGGTAGTGGTATCACCACTCGCTAACGATGGGGTGTTGTTTTGGTTGTCTCGCACTCGATTAGGAAGGGAAAACCCTCCTCCACCCACTATTTACCACCAACCTCTTTTTCTTTTCTTAAAATTTTATTAACATATCTGTCTCTGTATCTCATACTTACACTCACATATATAAAAATCCCATCTTTTTTAAATCTGTTTTTCTGAGTTTGGAGATGCTCATTTGGGCTCTCAGATTTGCCTGTATTTGAAGAACAACAGATACCAGAGAAGACAACCCAAGTCTCAGTATGTGAGTTTTCTCGTTCTCTCTCGTATGTGCAATTGCATTTCATTGGGTTTGTTTTCCTGAGCATCTCTTTTTCTTTTTGTATTTTCGTTTTCCTATCCAGATTAAATGATGTAAGATTAGGAGATCTGTGTGGTTGGCTTGCTTACTCTTTGATGGTTCTGAATGATTGAGATCCACATGGTGATAATGTTCTGTTTTATTGGAATGCGTTAAAACATGATTGTTCTTATAATCGAATCTGATTGATTCAGTAGCATTTTTCAGTGGTCTAAAATTTGTTCATTTGACTCGGTGGATTCTCAAATGTATAGTTTAATAGGGGTATTTAGCAGTGGTTTGTAAAGGGACCTGCTTGATCATCTCAACTGTGTTTTTATACCATTGGATGACTTTAGAGTCTATATACCTGTATCTCATTTTGATGATAATGGTAGTGTCTCAATGCAACTCTATAAACCAGTCTGTATGAAGTGGGATGCAACATTTTTTATGGTTGATTATTGTTCTTGGAGAGATTTGAGGATGTAGCTTGAATGTTTAGTTCCCCATTTTGAAAAGCTCTTAGTGATAGGACAAGATATAGAAGTATATCATTTCTGTTGTTTGAGACCTATCTGTATTTTGTAACATAGACCTTAAAGTCACTATGATTATGTATATCAGATATTTCTGCTAAGATGAGAGGAGCGGGTTTGTGGCAACTTGGCCAGTCAATCACCCGACGCGTTGCTCAGGGTGATAAGAAGGCTGTAGCTCGCCGATACTTTGCCTCGGAAGCTGAGCTCAAAAGGACAGTTCTCTATGACTTCCATGTTGCTAATGGCGGAAAGATGGTGCCATTCGCTGGATGGGGCATGCCTATTCAGTATAAGGACTCAATCATGGACTCCACTCTAAACTGTAGGCAGAATGGTAGCCTGTTTGATGTCTCCCATATGTGTGGGCTGAGCCTAAAGGGGAAGGACTCCATTCCATTCCTTGAAAAGCTTGTCATTGCTGATGTTGCTGGACTTGCCCCTGGAACAGGGACCCTCACTGTCTTTACAAATGAGAAGGGAGGGTCAATTGATGACTCTGTGATTACCAAGGTTACTGACGACCACATATACCTGGTGGTGAATGCTGGATGTAGGGATAAAGATCTTGCTCACATTGAAGAGCATATGAAGGCATTCAAGGCTAAAGGGGGAGATGTCTCATGGCACATCCATGATGAGAGATCTCTTCTAGCTCTCCAGGTTAATCCTTTTCCTTTGATTCTTAATATCTTTATACTAAATCTAAATATTCTGTTGCCCATTTGCTAGAACTGATTGTTTGCTGCTTCTTTTCTCTTACATCAAAGACCAATTTCAAAGAAGTTTAAGTTAAGTACGGTAATTATAACTGTTGAACTCAATTGAAACTTACTTAGACTGATTTGGCCAATAATTCACCAGTTAAAACTGTTGCGCTTACTTTAGTGAAGCAGGCTGACAATTGGGAATGGTTTGATTTTGCTTAAATAGCTGATTAATATCTCTTTTGGTTTGATTTTGCTCCAATAGCTGATTAATATCTCGTATAGTAACATGTATAATGAGGAAATTAATTATTCTGTGCAGGGACCTCTTGCGGCTCCAACTCTCCAACACTTGACGAAAGAGGATTTGAGCAAGTTGTATTTTGGAGAGTTCCGAATTTTGGATATCAATGGGGCGCACTGCTTTCTCACAAGGACTGGGTATGTTCTTCCATATGCATTCATGTGATGTGAATGCAATTACTAAGAAAATGATTGAAGATGATGAGTGAAGCAATTTAACTCTGTTCTATGCTTTTCTTTGGTGATATCTGAACAAAGCATCCAGGCCTCAGACTGCTAACTTTCATATCTGTTTTTTTTTTTTGGTCAACAACTTTCATATCTGTTTAGTTTACAAATTTGTTATTATTTCCGTTTTCATCAACTTGGCATTTCTACTATTTTATTGGAATGAGCGATGAATGACATTTGATTGCGCTTTTCACTGAGCATTGTAGGTACACTGGTGAAGATGGATTTGAAATTTCAGTTCCTTCTGAACATGCAGTGGATCTTGCCAAAGCAATCTTGGAAAAATCTGAGGGGAAGGTGAGGCTGACAGGATTGGGTGCTCGTGATAGTCTCCGGCTAGAAGCTGGGTTGTGTTTGTATGGCAATGATATGGAGCAACACGTAACACCTGTGGAGGCTGGACTCACATGGGCTATAGGGAAGAGGAGAAGAGCAGAAGGTGGCTTTCTTGGTGCTCAGGTAATACTCAAACAACTTGAGGAAGGTCCTTCAATCCGGCGTGCTGGTTTCATCTCTTCAGGCCCACCTGCTAGAAGCCACAGCGAGATTCAAAATGAAAAAGGTGAAACCATTGGGGAAGTCACAAGTGGAGGATTTAGCCCCTGCCTGAAGAAAAATATAGCCATGGGGTACGTGAAATCTGGATCACACAAGGCTGGCACCAAAGTTAAGATTATTGTCCGAGGAAAGGCCTACGATGGAACGGTCACAAAAATGCCTTTCGTACCTACAAAATACTACAAGCCATCATAATCCTAGTGCGGTATTTCATCACTGGGATTTTCTAATGTTTCCCCTTTGATTTCTTGATAAAACTTGACTGTTTCTGTCAATGCTAATTTCCTTTCTCAACTTGCTCTGAATCTGGAATGGAATGGGATTTATCTTTTGTCTTGTGTTGTTTATGTTCCACCTCTTACCAACTTGGATGATCTTTACTGTTGATATTTACAGTTTCATAGCTTAAACCAACATGTGATTGACCATGTTATAATAATCGACCGACAGATCAGTCTGACGTAAATTACAACCTAAAAAAAGACTGAAGAACACATTTATTAGGGAGAATTAGATTGACCGCAATGTCCCCTTACCCCATTACGAGCGACTCCCAACTCGAGGGCCAAGTCCAACCATGCAATGGTAAGACATTGTCTCAGAGTCAACATTTCCGGTGAATCTAAGCCATCCAATCCAGACCAGTTTCTTGTTGTTTTGATGATGAAAATATTCGAAAATGCTATAAACAAGTTTATTTTGTTCAACTACTAAATTCACAACTCCCTCCTCTTAAACCAAGGACATAAATTATGTTTAAAAAGTCAATGACTCTCATAACACGGTTGTTTAAACACTTAACAAAGCTTAATTAGATAGATAAAAAAAACAAAAGACTAAATGTTTCTATGTGATGCATGACAGCAAATTGTCATGCATGACAGCAAATGATGCAGAAACACAAAAAATCAAACACATTCTTCTGCGAATATTGTAGTGTGAAAATTTTGTGTTAATATTAATTCTTCTATGTTACATGATTGTACAAAGAATCGATCGTTAAATTCTAAAAAGAACCAAAGAATCAGAGGAATTTTCCTATTTCTGTTTGTACAACATTTGATGAACTACTTAGAAAAGCTTGCAACCAAATTCATCTATGGATGTTCCCTCGAGACGAGATGAAGCTGATTTTGATGCAAGTTCTCTAAGCTGATCCGAGCTTCTTCCCAATTGCATAGCAACCTTCATTTCAAAAAACTCCCCATTTTCTCTTTTCTCCAAATCTTGTTCTTCAAGTGTGGCTTGAATTGTATCCTCCAATTTGTTGAAGAAGCCAGCGCAGTTCCTATACATCTCAAACACCATCCCAATTTGCCCACCATGCTGAAATGCATTAACTGCGCTAGCCAATGACCCTGCAGCCACTGCCACGATGGCACTAGCTGACCCCTGGCCCACAAAAGCAGAGCCAATGGCTGCAACCCCAGTTAGCAAAGGGCCTGAGATTGCCAAAATCTTGTTGATCTTCAACACCAAGCTCCCCAGTCTCTCATAGTCTTCTATGTCTTTCGTCTTCACCACTTCAATAATTTCCCTCATTTCCTCTTCAAGTTCAGCACTCCACCCATTAATCTTTCCCATCTGGGAGTTGGGTTTGCTTGGCTTTTGAGATTGAATATTTTTAGGCCACCAAACAGCTGGCTCAAATTTTTTAGGGAACTTTTCAAGCATGGCTCCAAGCAAAGGAAGTGGGTAAGCTTTGTCGAGTGCCAAGACCTTCTCCATAGTGTCCTTCACATATTGTTCAGTAGGATCATGAAGGGCAAGCATGGTTTGGATTTGGCTCTGGAGCTGCTTGAACAATCTTGTGGCGTTGCGCTGTTCCTCAGCGAGCTGCGAAGGCTGGATCTTGTTCATCACAAGCAGCATTCCGGAGGCTGCAGAGAACAAAAGAGTGGAGGAGATGTTCAAGGCCAAAACGGACACTCCAGCACCGGCTGCAGTGCCTGCAATTCCAGCCATGAGTGAAGCTGAGAGAGTGATCATGTTGATGGAGTTGAGAAGAAGGGTGTTCCAGTTGTCGCGCTGCTCGCGAATGTTGTTGTGCATCTCAACTCTGTCTGCCACGGCTTCTAAGATTGCATAGAGCTGAGTTGTAGCAGCTGTAGGAGTTGCTGGAGTGGCAGAAGGGTTATTGTATGAATCATTATCAAGGATATGTTTTGGTTCCCTCAATTGAAGCCCCTCAAGAACTAGCTTTGTTGCTGTTTTTGGGACTGCGAAGCGGACTCTTGGGAGCTTGGGGACATGGATAGCAGCATTGATATTTGATCTCCTTGAAGAAGAACAGGATGAAGAAGAAAAAGAAGAAGAGAAAATGAGAGTTGAAGTTTGCAAGGAAGCCATTTAACTTGTTGGGTTTTCTTGGATCTCTTTGGTTGTGAAGTAATTAGAGTATTGAAATCAGAAAGGATCTGAGTTTTTCTCTTTGGTGCCTTTGTTGTTGTTGTTGTTGTTGTTGTTGTAGGAGGAGGAGAGGAGTTTGAGATTAAATGGAAGGTCCAATTTGGTGTTATTTATAGTGGGGAAGCACAGCTGAAACTGAAAGAGAGGAAGAGGTCAGATTTGGAAAATATTGACTGGCTTGAACGGGCAAAGAAGACTCAGCCCATTGGCTGACCTGCAGCCTGACCCATTCCCTTATTTTTAATTTTCTCTGTTCAAGATTTGGTCCACTAAGGCTTCACTCTCTCTCTCTCTCTCATGCAAACATGTAATAGCGATACCCTACGTTTGCTTGCGTGGTACTTCACCTTGCCAACAATTTAATAAGCTGCTAGCAACTTGCAATTTTTGTGACCTCCTATTTGATTGAAGTGGTCTCTTCACTGGGTTTTTAAGATGGACCGAGTGTTTTTTTTTTTTTTTTTTTTTTCCAACTACTAGTTTTCAAACCTCAACATTATATTATAATTTTCTAAATGTTTGGTCTTTCTTTTTTGGTACACTGGTCTCATTCCGATCCTTGTCACTTGAATCAATAGTGGGGTTGCTTCTATTAGTGCTTTAAAATATGTTGAAAGGAGTTGCTCTTTAAAAAAATATATATCATTTTCAAGACTCAATTTGTAAGTATCATCTTATATCATTATAATGTCACAATTATTTCACAAAAATACAAGTCACCAAATACCATGTTAACATCTTTTCATTTTCAGAAATAAATGGAGTTGATGAGTAACCTAAAAAGCAGTAATGATTTTTTTTTTTTTTCTAGTCTTGTATATTACACTCAAATCACACATAATATAACAAAACAAAATGTAATAAAATAGTAAACCAAATTGTGTAAGGTAAAGCAGGTTTAGGCCATATGTGAGTTAGGCAAATTTGTTGGGGTGGTGAGCTCGTTCAATTGCAATCAAGTTTGAGTCCTCTTTTCTGTAAATTAGATTAATTTAGAATGATTTGATTGTTGCTTGTATTTTTTAAAAAAATTGAAAAAAAAAACATCTTTAGGCTTGGTTTGACGCCATGAGGGTTTGAGCGTTTCCAATTTTGATCGGATTAAATTGACTTTTCAATTTTCCAGCTGAAAATCTTCAAACCCGTATGTCAACTTTACATTCGGAATCCGTATGTCAACTTTACGTTTGGAACCCGTTCCTGAAAGGAAGAAAAGGTCTGCTTGCTTGTGATTGGTAAAACCGTAAAAGGAGAATATATGCGAAGTAGCCCAAAAGATACTCTCCCCTGATAATTGGGCATTCCTCTCCGGCACAGCCATGGAGGGACCCATACAATACAAACAAAATCTCTGCCTGACAGTCTTGAGCTACAGTTAAGTGCCTCATAGATATTTCACTCAAAACTATAAACCGAAAAGCGCAAACAGTTAGTTCCTCTCAAGAATTGGAAGACTGTGTAACAAGGAAAAGCATGGGGTCGATTGCAAAGAAGGGGTTGCAGCAGTACTTGCTTCAGCTTCAGCATCATCCTCTCAGAACTAAGGTCAAATCCCATGTCTCTGTTAATCTCACTTCTGTTGTTTCAGGCCAATTTTGTGATGGGGTTACCTTGATTTCCTCTGTTTTCCGTTTAAACTCCTGCTCGCTTAGTTGCCCAGAAAGTTTAGGGAAGAAAGCCAAAAGAAAGGATTTTCTTTATAGTGTTAGGTTGTTTTCTCATCTGGGTTTTCAAAGATATTGTCTTTTAAACTCAATTATGACTGGTACTTGTGCTAATTTAGTCTCTCTATCCTAGCCATCAAATGCTGTTAATTGGGAATATTTGGTGATACCTTCGTTTCTTTTTCGAACAGGCAATTACAGCTGGGGTTTTGTCAGCGATCAGTGACATAGTGTCTCAGAAGCTCACCGGCATCCAGAAACTTCAGTTAAGACGGCTGCTTCTCAAAGTGGTAAGGTCCCATTTTATTTTGGTTTCTTAGTTTTCCAATTACATAAAGGATTTGTATATTTGATTTCCGTGCGCTCGCAACGGTGTTTTTCTTTCTTCTATATAATTGAATGTTAAGCAGTTGAGCTAAATAAATGGAAAGATCCCAATTCCCTACTGTAGCTAAATGATGCTGTTTCTATTTGATCATTGCCACACACACACATTTCATTTGGCTAAACTCATAGCCATTGCTCAACCTTAATTAGAATAAGTTCTCAGCTAGATTTGGTCTGAAAGACCAACGTAACACACTTATGAACATGATTACACTGGATGGTATTTCAATCAGGTGGATGCCTAAAACATCACCCTGCATATCACACACACCCCTGACCTGGGTTTTTGGATTAAGGCATGCAGTTAAAGAAGATAATATCACTAACACTGTTTACAAACTAATGTAGCAAACAGAAAATATCCCAGTAAAATGCAATACATACAGATTGGTTGTCAGGATAATGACTAAAACTCATTATGCAGTTATAATTACAATCATTATTGGGTGATATGTACGTTCTTGTTTTTCTGAGAAGATTCTGTAAGAAGTTTGGGTGGATCTTCAGGACTCTATTTGCTTGGCCCTAAAAGTATTAATGTGCTGAAGGAAAGAAGGTTTAATTTTTTTGCTATATATGCACACATGTCTATTGCTAATATGTCAATTCTGATGTGTACAAGTAATATTACATGTGTTGTCCGTTATAACCTTGCATTTCTGCATGCAGCTTTTTGGAGCTGTTTATCTTGGACCATTTGGGCATTTCCTGCATTTAATACTTGATAAGATTTTCAAGGGGAAGAAGGATTCAAAAACAGTAGCCAAGAAGGTAAGGCTACTCTATTTGCCTTCACACGCTCTGGTTTTTGGTTGAGAAATCCATGGTAAAAAGAAGTGACTTTCCCCCAGCTATTGATACCCCACATGGCTGCAGAAGTCCGAGTCATGGGTTCCTACACTTCATATTAATTATAGGCATCGTTATTTAAGTGCCATAACTTCTGATCTCTTCCTCTTCTTAAACCAAAAAGGTTGTGCTCATAAAGAAGATTTTATTGGTCGTTCTAAAATTTCTAATCAAATTATTTCAGGTGCTGGTGGAACAGTTGACATCTTCTCCTTGGAATAACTTGCTTTTCATGCTTTACTATGGCTTGGTTGTGGAGCGTAAGTATATAATATGTCAAAACTTGTGATCATCAATTTTTTATGTTTGAAATATTGGCATGTGAGAAATACAGTCGGAATGCAGTAGTTCCTCTCAGCCCTTAAATTTGATTAAGATCTAAGCGTTGAGATTATAATATTATTAGTCCAAAAAAAAGAAGAGATTATAATATTATTAGTCAAACAACTCTGAAATTTTCAAAGAAAGTCAGCCTAAAAGAGGCATGTTAGCATGTGGGACAGATATGAATGTAACAGCTTATGTGAACTTTGCTGCTTATTGTCTAAGAAAATATGTGAAACGCAGGAAGACCCTGGATGCATGTAAAGAATAAAATTAAGAAGGACTACCCGTCAGTGCAATACACATCGTGGACGGTATAATTCTGTCCCCATTGTGATTTTTTATGCTAACACCTTATCAGGAAACATAACACATTTTAAACTTTGACGGATGAAAATGCAGTTTTGGCCTGTTCTGGGTTGGATAAATCACCAGTATGTCCCTCTCCATCTCCGTGTTGTCTTCCACAGCTTGGTCGCTTTTGGCTGGTACAAGCTATAAGCTTAATCTCCTTTTTTCTCTATAATAATTAATATCCATGTTGTTTTTTGGTTCCTAATAATATTTCCCGATTCATTAACAAACTGGCTGGCCTTGTGCTTTTTTTCTTTTTTCAGGGGAATTTTCCTAAACTTACAAGCAAGATCTGTGGTATTACCAAAGGCTAAGTGAAGCGACGGAATTTTTTGGATTGGCCTCAAATAATTTGTGCTCCCTCCAAGTGACTTCTAGTCACAGATGGTCTTTCTTCAACAATTATGAAGTCTACATAAAGCTGATATAAGCCCTGGATCCCGTTTTCATGTATGCAGGATCTTGTGAACGGTATTCGAAATGACTAAATGTGTGATCTGTGCTTATTATTTTTTGGTAAGCAAGTATGAATTGACATGCTACATTGCATTATATATTGTTGCAATGAACTGCAACGCTTCCAAATCTAAGCTGTAAATTGCTTACCCTGTTGTTGGCGTTGGAGACCACACTTGCATTGCAATTTGCATGTGAATGCGACAGCTCAAAGCCTCAAAGCCTCAAAGCACAAAGCAGGGGTCATATCATATAATAAACCACAAAGCTTTTGCTTATGTTGCAAATAAGCCATGAGGGACAGCGACTCATTCTCTAATAGAATTGGAACTTTGAATAATCTTATCCACCTTGTGTCATCTCTCCTTGAATTGATGGCTGAATATTACACTGACCGGACCCGAATACGTAATCAGATTCTGTCCCTGCTTTGCCCCAATGTTTTCTTTGCAAAACGAGTATCGGAGTATGGGATGTGTCTAAAATGAACTTTGGGATGACTTGCTAATTACACATTGTGTGCATCCCCAAGTCGATGCTTGTAATTCAAGGCTTGGAAAGATTACCATAACAAATTATAGTAAAGTAGGATGTTCAAAGATTAAACGCTAAGAAGGATTCTGAAATATAATTCAACTGGTTATGTAAGTTTGACTGATTCGGAGATAGTGTGGAATTGCCAATTGCCAATTGCAAATAAAGAAGAAGCCACCACTATGATGATGAAAAACACATCATCTTTGCACCAATAGAGAGCACATTAAGCACCCGTACATCACTTTACATGTATTTTAATTCATCCACCTGAGGCATTTGAATGAACCACAAGACCTTCACACCATAGGATGAGAGGGGAAATGCCACTAAGGCCTACTAGGCCATTGCTAAAATTGAGAAATCAATTAAAATGTAGACCAACAGTTTACGACAAATATTGGATTAGAATGAAGATTTCTTCGGATTCTTTGGAAATTAATTTTAAAAACCAAATATTCCATCTGCCTAAGAAATTGGTTTTGTTTATTAAAAAAACCACGTTCATAATATTTTATTTTATAAAAAAAAAATAGAAAAACTAGATTAAACTATTATTAAAAATGAACAGTAAAATGGACTGACAATTTATTCTTTTTGTCCATGAAATATTTTTACAAAACAAAAGTTAGGAAACTGAATATTGTGTCAAAGCTCAAACTCCAAGAGGAGAAGTGGTTGACCAAAAACAACAGATGAGAAGTGATCTAATAAGCCATGAGAGGTTGAGCATAATATTCAAACTATCAACAACCACCTCCTAAGTTTGACAGTTTGATCGAGCCAAAAAGAAAATATGGCAACCTTTCAAGTTTCAAGCATCTTTTGTTTGATGGGTTCGCCTGATCAAATGCGTTTTCCTAAAGGAGGAGCAATTAAAGCCACCACCAATAATGCACCAAAATTCCAGGTGAGTCCAATTTCTCTTCCCAAGCTCCCATCCAGAAGTTTGGTTGACAACTTGGACATCACAAGTAATGGTTTCAAAATTCCAAGTAATAACAGTGCAAATCATTCTGATGATCCAATGGTTACTTCTAAGCTGTATGCTATCATGGAGGCTATTGCAGATAGAGTGGAGATGCATAAGAATATTGGAGCACAGCGTGACAATTGGAACCACCTCCTTTTGATGTCCATTAATGCAATTACTCTCGCTGCTGCAACCATGGCAGGAATTGCCGCCACCACTTGCGCTGTTACAACCGGAGCACGAGCACCCTTCATGGCTCTCAAGCTCTCTTCCACTATACTTTATGTAGCAGCCACTGGAATGTTGGTGGTGATGAACAAAATCCAACCATCCCAACTTGCTGAAGAACAGAGACACGCAGCTAGATTGTTCAAGCAGCTTCATGCCCAGATTCAAACAACATTATCACTTCACAGTGAAAATACTATGGTGGATGTGAATGAAGCAATGGAGAAAGTCTTGGCATTGGACAAAGCCTACCCACTTCCTTTGTTAGGTGAAATGCTGGATAAATTCCCCAAAACTGTGGAACCAACAATCTGGTGGCCAAAACAAAATCACAGAAGAGCTCAAGGGGCTGAAGGAAAATTAATAGATGGAAATGGTTGGAGTCAAAAATTGGAAGAGGAAATGATAGAGGTAGTTGGGGTTTTGAAGAGCAAGGATGTGCCAGAATACTTGAATTTGACTGAGAAGGCCTTAAAAATCAATAGAGTTATGGCCATCTCTGGCCCTATATTAACTGGCCTTGCAGCATTGGGGTCTGCTTTTGTGGGTTCTAGTGGTACTTACGGGGTGTGGGGTGTGATGGCAGGAGTTATTTGTGGAGCTTTAGCAAGTGTGGTGAACACATTAGAGCATGGTGGCCAAGTTGGAATGGTGGTTGAAATGTATAGAAGCAATGCTGGTTTCTTTAGGCTCATGCAAGAAACTATAGAATCAAATGTGAAAGAGAAACAAGTTGAGAGAAGAGAGAATGGGCAGGTGTTTGAAATGAAGGTGGCTTTGCAGCTGGGAAGGAGCCTATCAGAACTCAAGCATCTTGCTAATTTCTCTGAAAAGTTTGCAAGCAAGCTATTCTAGTGTTATATACGTTGGTTTCACTTTCTAATTTGGTTAGTTGTGTTGTGTGATGTAATTTGTACATTATGTAACATTTAACTTTGCTCATAAACATGCTAATTTCTCTGAAAAGTTTGCAAGCAAGCTATTCTAGTGTTATATACGTTGGTTTCACTTTCTAATTTGGTTAGTTGTGTGATGTAATTTGTACATTATGTAACATTTAACTTTGCTCATAAACATCATCATCATGTCTCACCGATTAACAATCAAATAAATAAGGTGGTGTTAGCTTGATATACATTGTTGGTCCATTCTCTGACAGCTTAAGTTTTTTGAGATTGGTAATTGTCTAACATGAAATCAGAGTCTTCTATGTAAGTGGTCTTGAGCTCGATTATTGTTCCCCACATCTTTGTTGGTTTGCAAGGTGTAGGGCGGAGCTACACCTATATGTTTGTCTCTCTCCTCTTGCGCAGGATCGCCTTGCACGAAGAAACCGAGCTATCCCATATGGCATTTGATCGAAGGCTAAAAACCCATGGTTATAGGCCCAATCCAGCCCACTATGAAATCCTAATGCTACAATTCAAAATTCCATTACTTGGTTATTAAAGTTCACTCTTATGCATTGCACAACGTTGTTAGATTAAAGATGGACAGGCGTGCAATGCGATATCAGCTCATAATTTGGAAATCTTTGCCTTCACCACCCACCCATTATATATTTGCCAAGTTAACACAAGCGGCAAGTGATATGTAAATCTGTCTCCATCAATCAACTCCCTTATATAAACTGCTTGCTTGTTAAGTAAAGGCCAAAAGGCATTTATGCTTTTTGCTGGCCAACTGCCATTGATGATTGATCTGGGTTATCGACACCAACTAACCAATCAGTAAAAAATGGTACAGTAAAGCAATATGAACAAGAGCGATTTGGATCTGTATCTATGGTTAACCTAACGTGATCTCCATGATGTCTCTCAGCTAGGGAAATTAATTTATATAAAGATATTAGTATTAGTATATGAACTTACTATTCTATCCTTATTTATGGTAAGAATTACTTTTTGACCACCAATATAGTTGAAGGCTTTATTTGCTCTCTTTCATTTCATTTCATTTCATACCCTCCTCCATCCTTCTTCAATAACAACTGAACCGACATACGCTTCCTAAAGCTTTCAACTTTCACGCATTTACTGGCATGCTCTGTTTACCCACTAAAACTACAAGTCTGGGAAGATGATTCAGCTAATGTTCATAGTGATTTTGTCAGAGATGGCTCTGATACTGGCGTTTTTGTTTAGGACCCCATTTAGGAAGCTGGTAGTATTGGGTCTGGATCAGATCAAGCGTGGCCGTGGACCCATTGTGGTTAAGACCGTGGCGGGAACGGTGCTTGTGGCGTTGATGACTAGCGTTTACAGCATAATTAAGATCAAGAATAGTCGGATCGACAAAGCTGCTATTGTTAGTCTCACCGATCAGGTCCTCATGGTCAAGCACCTGCTTGAAGCCACTCTCATGGGTAATTTTTCAATTTTTAATCTCTTTTTTTGGGTTCAATTACTTCAACTTTATGGTAAGTCTTGCTTTTTGTTTTGTGGCATTCTCTGATATTAATTTGAGTGTGGATTTCTTGAATGTACATTTGTTTGATTGTCGTTATTCCTTTATGGTTTTTGATTGAAATGTGCTTGCTTTGATGGATTGGGGGAATGAGATGGCTGATCAAGATTGTAGCTTTGTGCCTTCAATATATTTAAATCACTGTTTCGTTAATGACACTAACTGGTAAGTGAAATTAGCTATGTTTTCTGGATCTTGTTAAGTTGTTTCTGAAAAGCCATTTTCTTTTGCCTGTTTTACTCCCCAATAAATCTGATTCTAAGCATTGAAGTGTTGGTGGCCTGAGTGTAAATTAAGTGGTTTCAAATTCACGGGCTGTCCAAAACCATATGTGCACATAGAGAATTTCATGTTCCTCAGTACTTACTCACCACATGATTGGATAGAAAAACTTCAATTTGTTTAAATGCTCTATTACAGTTGTTGATATAGAGTTAGATCACCCATGGCACCATTTTGTTTGGCTGGAGATGAGATGTAATGATCAGAGCTACTGGTGAATTTCACGTCTCGTTTGTTTCTGTGCCAATTATGAGCATAGGTACCTTGATACATCCCTTTAGAGCAAGAAATCAAACTCTTTTTTTCTTAATTAAAGTATTTTGTTAAAGAAAAGAGAAGGGTTTGAAAGGCAATATAAGTCATTCTATCTGGAAAGAGCATTGATATTGTAGACATCAATTCGATAGCATCAGCTCCGTTATTTTTTGTGTAGGTTGTGTTAGCATAGAAGTATATTATTTGCTGCAAGAGTCTTCCATTTTCTATCTTTGTTAAATGCATTTTTCAGTTTTCATTATGTCAATAGTAGCATGGTTAGATATTAAATGCAACCATGAAGGGAAAAAACAGAAAATATGTGCTTTGTCTTGTAATTTTAAGAGG